TTTAAACAAAATTTTTCATTATAATAATTGGAAAACACAGCGTTTTTATTTAGTTTTTAATGAAAAATTTGGAAAACACAGCGTTTTCATTGATTTGTCATTAAAATAATTGGAAAACATAGCGTTTTTTATTTAGTTTTTAATATAAAAAAAAAAAAAAAAAAAAAAAAAAAAAAAAAAAAAAAAAAACGTTTTTTGTTTATTGATGTTCGATTAAGATTGGAAAACACAGTGTGTTTATTGATTTTTCATTGAAATCATTGGAAAACGCAGCGTTGTTATTGAATTTTAAATAAAAAAAAACTGGAAAACACAGCGTTGCCGTACCCGAAACCTTGAAAAACATTGGAAAATTGGAAAACATAGCGTTTTTATTTGAAAATATTGGAAATAATTGGAATTATTGGAAAACACAGCGTTTTTATTGATTTCAATAGAATCTTCTGGATGCGGAATCCAGTCCATTTCTATTGAATTCCAATTGGAATCTAATTAGAATCCAAATAGAAATCCTCTGGACCTGGGACCCGTTCTCTTTCGATTGAGATCCTATTGAAATCTCATTGGATTTCAATAGAATCTTCTGGATGCGGAATCCATCCCATTTCTATTGAAATCCAATTGGAATCTAATTAGAATCCAAATAGAAATCCTCTGGATTTGGGCTCCGCTCTCCTTTCATTGAAATCCAATCAAAAGCAAACGAAAAACTAATACAGACAGAAAGAACGAGAGGGAGAGAGAGAGAGAGAGAGAGAGAGGGAGACAGCAGAGGGAAATTAGAAACCAGGAAACACACACAAGCCACCTACACAAAGATACCACCCTTACCCTCTTGGGGCCTCCAAGGGACCTCTCTGCGCCTAGAGCTCGACATGTCTGTTCGGGCCCTTCGTCTAGCCTCGCTCTTGGAGCCGTCTTTGGAGCCTCTTCGGCCATCTTGGAGTCCTCTGGGGCTGTCCTGGGGCCCTCTGGGACCGTGCTGGGCGATCTTGGAGGCCTCTTGGGCCGTGTCGGGGCGATCCTGGAGGCCTCTTGGGCCGTCTCGGAGCGCCGGTAAGCCCCCAAGACGAGAACGCCAAAAATTTTCAACAATTTCAGGAAATCGGAAGCCTTGTGGGGCGTCTTGAAGGCGCCCTGGGCTGTCTAGAGGCCATCTTCGGCGTCTTGTACCGCTCTTGGGACGTCTCGGGCCACGTTGAACTCTCTTGGAGGCCACTTGAAGCGCTCCAGGAACGCACTTGGGAGCCTCCTGGGACCTGGCCTGGACCTGCCCAGCACCTGCCCCGGACCTTGCCGGGACTTGCCGGGACCTTGCAGGGGCATTTGTCGCCCGGGGGCCCCCGGGGGCGGCCCCGCGCGCGCGAACTAGAATAGTGTTAACCAGTCACCGGAGATCTTAGCACGCCCTTGACCCGTTGGGCCGGCGAATTTGGGGCGCTCTCGAGCGGGGCCTCGGAGGTCAGGAGCCCTTTGCCAGTGCCAGCGGCACGATTCAGGTCCTCCCGCCCACACTCGTGACGGATGTTGAGCTCCGCGATTCTACGTGCGTTCGATCTCCCGATAAAAAATCTGGTATAGGGGCTCCACAAGTGCGATGTCAAGCCCATCTTGGCCATTGAAAATCAAGCCATTCGCCCTGCTCTGCATGACCTGATTCCTACCTGCCAGCGCGGCTTCGTCCCAGGGCGGAACTTCGGGGACAACATCGTGTAGTGCGACAGGGTCCCGTCGGTTCCCCCCTCCTAGTTCGGGGGGCATTTTTGCGCTCCACTCCCTGGACTTCGGCCAGGCCGTCCCGTCGCTGAAAATCAGAACTTCCTCTTCTTTACCAGCCTGGAACATATCCCTATCCCTATGCTGGGCATCTCCTCATCACGATGCCAATCTTCGGGATTCCCTTATTGTTTGAGGGCGCATCCCTAAGATCGTCATCGCCTTTTGGCGTGTCAATCTTAGGGATAGGGATAAGTTCGAGGCTGGTAACCTCCCCCCAGCCCCACGGGCTTGCCTGACGCGCCCGTTGACGTCGCCTGCTTCCTGCGCTTCGTGGGCCGAGGGCGTCGCGGCCCACTTGGGAGGGGCACGCCTTCTGCACTCAGAGCGGCATCGTCCAAGGGCGCGCTCTCTTCAGGAGGAAAAGAAACACACAGACACAATGAATCCTCGAATCCTTTGAACATATGGGAAAATATGGGAAGTGGGTGGGAAGACAAAAAACCAGAAAGTATTGGAAAATATGGGGAACATTTCTATTTGTGTATATTTATTTGTGTGTCCTGGGGCCCCCTCCTCCTCCCTCTCGGCCCCACGGGCTTGCCCGACGCGCCCGTTGACTTCGTCTGCTTCCGGCACTTCGTGGGTCGAGGGCGTCGCGGCCCACTTGGGCCTCCTCCAGCGCACCTTCTGCACTCCGAGCGGCATCGTCCAAGGGCGCGCTCTCTTCAGGAGGAAAAGAAACACACAGACACAATGAATCCTCGAATCCGTAGGAAATATGGGAAAATATGGGAAGTGGGTGGGAAGACAGAAACCCAGAAAATATAGGGAAATATGGGGAATAGTTTTATTTGTGTGTATTCGTTTGTGTGTCCTGGGGCCCCTTCATCTCTCTGGTACTTGATGCGTTTTGGGCGCCGCGGCCTTCCTGATGAACCTGGCCTTGCGGGTCGAGGTCTCGGGCCTCGGCCTGGCCCAGGCCCGCGCTGGCGACACAGGAGGCGCTCGGGAGGCGGCCCAGGACCTCGCTCGCATCTCTCGGGCGATGCGGCTGGCCTCCGGGAGGGCCAACCTAATCCCCCAAGTCGCGAAATTCATGCTCGCCCCCTCTCAGCGGTCCGTTCTCTTTGGGGCTGGCCAAGCAGGTGGCCGACATCAGTTCTGCGGAGCTCCCCGACTGGAGCTCATTCGAAATCGCGCCGATGTTGCCGCGCCTCGGCCTCTGGTCAGGCCCCGGGGTTGCCCCTGGCACGAGTTGGAAAGACCCCGTAGCCAAGCTCCGTCATCCGGCCCAATATATTGGCAAGGGAACCACACCAACCAGCCTCTCCGCGACGTTGCACAACACACGCGCAGTCTCCACGATCTCGCACGTGGCGCAGTTCTGTTGGCCACCAGCGGCCGTTCTCCAGCCTGAACTGGCGGTGCTAGCTCAGGTATTCCGCCTGCCGCCCGGGACCTTCTCGATCGACGCCTGGATCCAATTGGAGAGGCGCGGCGGCCCGCGGCGCACCCGCTGGGGCCATTCGGCGATCGCCACCATCACGCGCGCAGCAGCCTTGACTTCTCCGCGGCGGGCGGGGCGGCTCCAGCAGCTACGCCAGCATCGAATCGCCAACGACACCTGGGCCACCTTTGACGCGCCGGCCTCAGGCAAGCCCTACCCGCCCTTCTGGCTCTCGCCCGGCTTCGCGGAGAGCTTGGAGCCCGCCGCGGCTGGCCGCCCCCCGCCGGGGCCGCTCGCTGCCTTGGGGGCGCGGGTTGCCGCCGCCGCCGCCGGCGCGTTGCACGCCGGGCTCCCTGACCGTCCTCCGCCACAACGCGCCGTTCGTGCTGCTCTGCGGGCTGCCGCCCTGGGGGCGTCGCTGATCACCGCCGCCTTCGAGGCGTGGTTCCGCGAGTGCGCGGGCAGCTTCGAGAGCCCCTCCTCCCCGCGATAGACTGGAGGCCTGCCGGGCGGCGTTGCGGCGCTGTCCATGTTCATGGGCGTGGGCCACGACATGGACGTGGGAGGACGGCTAGATGGCTTCGGCTCGTCTCACATCTCCCCGTGGCCAGGGGTGCTGCGTCTTAGGGTGCGCGGGCCAGCTCGATTCCCTTCGCCACCACGCACGTTGCCGCGTCCTGCATCGCGCCCATCGTCGCCCTCGTGCTAGACCCTTTCCGCTGGGCTGGCCAACGCGCAGGGGCTCGCGGCAGCCGCCCCTCAACACCTTTGCGGCGACGGCGGCCGCGAAAAACATGCACAATGAGGCTCGCCTCTCGGAGGACTGGCCGACCGCCCCGCCGAGGGCCCACAGCCGCCCGCTCGCAGGCGTCCGCGCGATGATGATGGCCTTCCCCTTGGGCGCGGATGACAGCGATCGGACCGCCCTGCGCAGGCGGGATTTTACATCGCATCCTCGTCATTGTCGAGCTCGACTTCTTCGCCGACGAGCTTACTCCCGAGCTCTCCAAGCTCACCCCTGCAGTCTCGTCCGATTCCGACACTGCACCCACGCCCATCGCGATCCCGCTTGCTTCACCAAGAGAGCTGGGCGCGATGGATTGATCGAGCGTGGCGGCGAAGTGCCTCTCAACGCTGACTCTCTGCCATCATCAACATGAATGCGATTTCCGTCACGATCGCAAAGGTGTCTGCGGACCCAGAGTGCCATTCCAATGCCATGTTCATCGCTGGCGGATCCCCAGATCGCATCGCTCTCTACTCCTGCTTCCTTGCGCGATTCCCAGACGCGGTCTCCGTCGCCACGAATGGCGCCACTCTCGACGCAAAGGCTACCCACATCGTCGCCAGTGTCCTTGCCGACTTCCCCTCCAGTAGTCACCGCGGTCAAAAGCGCCCATCCGTCCTCCTCGCCCTGTCCTTCGCTCGTGATTGCCCATACCGATTCTTGCTCCTCTCCCCCTTCTCCCCTTCTGCATGCTTTGAGTCCACCGCTTTCCCACTTGAGTGGTTATCCCTGCTTGCTCCTTCTGCTCGGCCGAATCGCCTGCTGCCGCTGCAGATGTTCGCGCGTCCTCCGTCGTGGCTGTTGCTCCTTCCAGCGAGCACGGCGTCGAGAGGGGCAGGAGGCCACGGAGTCTTTAGCCGTGGTCGGTGACGACTGTTCCCCTCTTACGCTGGGCTCCTCCTCGTGCACGCTCCACCTCCTCCTCCTCGTCCTCCTCCTCCTCCTCCTCCTCGTCCTCCTCCTCGTCCTCCTCCTCCTCCTCCTCCTCCTCCTCCTCCTCCTCCTCCTCCTCCTCCTCCTCCGACTGGCCGACCTCCTTTTCCCATCATGCTCTTTTTGCCTTCCTGGCCTCCCGAAGGACTTGGGCCCCAGCCACATCCCGCCCATAGTGGCGACCGTGTGCCGCGTGCCGCTGAAGCAGGAGCAGCGGGAACGCGTGCTGAGGGCCCTCGTGAGCCGGTGGCTCTCCATTGCGGGGAGCTCTGGGGGGGGGGGGCCTGCCCTGCCCTCCCGGGGCGGAGATGCGAGGCACGATGCTCCTCACTGGGCCCCGCTCGGGGCAGCCGCGCCCCGCCTGTGGCAGGCGCGCTCCTGGAGCCTCGCCTCGGGGCGGCCCCAGCGGCCGGGCGTCGCTCGAAGACTGGCCTGCATGGGCCCCAGAAGGGGGAGGAGGAGGAGCAGGAGGAGGAGGAGGAGGAGGAGGAGGAGGAGGAGGAGGGGGAGGAGGAGGAGGAGGAGGAGGAGGAGGAGGAGGAAGAGGAGGAGGAGGAGGAGGAGGAAGAGGAGGAGGACCTGGGTTCGACCTCAAGCTGGCGCTGGGCGAGCCACTTTGGGGTCGCCCGCGGGAGGGGGGGGGGGGGGCGGGCAGGCACGCCTCTTCTGCCGAGCTCCCCGCCCGTGCTGCGGCGGGAGCACGAGGCCCCGTCTGGTGCCGTCACCGTCCCGCAGATCCTGAGCCTCACCATCTCGCTCGGGCTGGCCCCCGAGGAGCTGAACACCGCGGTCTTCGCGCGCGACGTGTCAGCGTTTATCGGCGATCGTTTCGACATGGTCGGCACGGAGGACCTGATCGTGTTCCTGTGGGGGATGCAGCGGTTCGCAGTGCCGGGCTCCTTGACAGCGTTTTTCGCCCGCGGCCTCAAGGAGGTGTTGCGGCGCTGGGGGTCGCTGCAGACCGAGGCGCAGCTGAGCGTGCAGCGGCTGACCCAGCTATCGGACGTGCTTGTGTCCATGCGCCAAGAGGCCGTTTGGGATAAGGACTGGCAAGAAGTCCACAATAAACCACAGCCAGGGCTCGAACCTGGCGGGGGATCCCGAAGGTGTTCCCGAGAGTGGCGAAGCTTCTGAGAGGCTTTTCATCCCTGAACCCACTCAGAGATGTTTTGAAGCCAGCTCCAGAGCAGGAGGAGGATGAGGGATGGTGGGATGTTTGGATAGGGCGGTGAGCTGCCGTGCCGCATCGCTATCTGCCCCCCCCTGCCCGGAGCCAAGGACATGGCGAAACTGCAGGACGTAGTCCTCGCCGACCTCAGCGAGTCCGTGCAGTACTGCCTCCCCGAGAGTCTCTCGGAGCTGCTCGAGATCTGGAAGGGCAACGCGGCGTTCTGGCGAAGGTACGACAGCTTCGCCGCGGCCGTGGTGAAGCGCCTCGAGGACCGTGGCCAGCCAGTCGGCCACCCGGAGGGCCAGGGGGGGGGCCCAGGAGCCCGCCACGAAGGCCTCCAGGAGTCAGAGAGCACTTGGCATCGCTCGGACGTGTGCATTTTTCCGTCGGCGAGGACCATCGAGGAGCATCCTTGATCATTTGGCGAAAAATGAACACACGAAACTTTAAAAAAAATATGGAATGGACGTCCGAGCGATGGCGAGAGCAGGCAAGGGATGCCGATGGATTACCCCATTGGGGCCGTCCCTGTGCCTAAGAAGGAGGGCGGCAGCTCCTGGGTCGGCTGGCCCGCGTGCCCCCAGAGGTCTCGCGGAGGTCTCCAGAGCTCTCCTGGAGGTCACCAGAGGCCTCGATGGGGTGCCAGACAGGACCGGGAGCGTCCAGAAGCCTCGAGTCTGAGATCCGATGTTTGCTCCGTTTTGTTCCCCATCGTCAGGGCCAACCTCAGGGAGGGATAGGCTCAGGGGGGAATGCATCGACCCCCAGTCGCCCATTCATCGCCGATGAGAGCCTGATCGCACACCCCGCCAAGGAGCGTGCACTTTAATCTCGGGGGTACAACGCCGATCTGTCCGCGATGCACGGCCGACTCCAGGCCGCCGAAGTCCTCAGCGGTTGCGTCCGCACAGCGCCCCGCCCCGTGTCGCCACACCCCTCGCCCGCTGCGTGGCCCCGCAGGGAGCTCCACCGAAAGGCCCCCCAGAGGCTGCGTCCGCAAGATGCCCCGCGCCATTTCGGCACACCCGTCGCACGCTCCGTGGCCCTGCTAGAGAGCTCCACCGAAGGCACAAGGGGCTGCGTTCGCATGGGGTTCTGGCCCACTGCGGCGCACGCCTCGGACGTTCAGCGTGGTTTGGCGGTTTGGGCGACGCGTTCAGGGAAACCACAGGCCCTTCACTGTTTTCTTGTGCACGGAGCGGTCCTGCTCATAGTCGCCTCCTGTTGAAAAAGGTTTGGGTTCTTCGCCAGGCTAGTTTTGCTGACGGTCCCGAGGCCCAGTGAGGGCCCCCAGAGGCCAAAATTAGCGAAACGCTTTCCGTCGTGATTCTATCTGCCCTGGAGGCCAAGGGAGTCCAAAACAACAAGAACAAACAAAAAGTTGCCCTTCTAGTAATCGAAAGCCTCGACCTCCTGCCGGGGCCCTGAGGGGCCTCAGGGCGGCGGCTGGCGGGCCACGGCCGCGAGGAGATCATTATGGAGCTCGACGACTTGGGGGAGGTGGCGCCAACGACGACAAAGCTCACCACGACGCTGACGACGACGACGACGACGACGACGACGACGACGACGACAAAACGGCGACGGCGACGTTAGGGGGGAGGTGGTGCCCGTGCTGAACGCCGCGCTCGGCGTCCCCGGACTCGCCGAGAGCATGCCGCCGCACGCGCGGCAGGCACTCGCGAGCGCCACCCTGACGCGCAGCGCCTCCGAGGTCCACGGGGGTGGCCCAGCGACCACAGGAGGATCGACCCAGATCTCCGACGATACGATTGGTTCTAGCTTGACGCTTTTCCTCGATTTCGGCCCCTCGGGCATGTTTTCGGGCCCCGTGGGCCATCACAAGTCAATCCGGGACGAAGGACTACCCCCGGCGGATTAAAAGAATCACATCGTCGGGTGTATGGGGAGGTTTCTGCGTGTCTTTGGCCCTGTCTGGGCCGCCAGAACCTCCACGGGCTTCTGGAAAAGCTCTGAGTTGAGACCTCCCAGTAGGGGGGGACCGGCTCGGGGGCATCGCTCGCAATGGCCCAATCATTGCAGGTCGATTCTTGGGCGCACCTCCCCGCACAGGAACGTTCGATTCTCCGGTCGGGGGCCTATCGCAGATCTGTCGGCCATGTCTCGTCGTTTCCAGGCCGATGTTCTCCCTTGAGCAGGTCTCCACTTTCGGCTCCCCCCAACCCAGCAGGTTCGACTACACGTAAGAGTGACCCTTCGCCGGGATGACCTTTGGTGCGGGCCCGCTGGGGTCCCCCGATCGCCGATCGCGATGCGGTGGTAGCGTCGTGCGCGCTTGTTCGGTCCCCCCGCAGCTCCCAAAGAGCCGCGCCCAAAAGGTCAATCCTACCCAGGGTCACTCTTGCGTATGGCCGAGAGTTTCCCAGGCGCCGTTGAAACGCGACAGCCTCGGAGGTTGAGCTCGGATGAGGCCGCAGAGCTGCAGACTCTCGGAGCTGCCTCGGCCTCCTCTGCGCCGAGAGGCGCAGACCTCAGGCGCCGTCATCTCTCTCACGACTCGGCGCCTGGAGCCCTCATCCGCATCCCGAGGTCCTGCTGCGGTAATTCGGCCACGCGCAGAGGGGGTTAGGGGGAGGGGGGAAGGCTTCTTAGAAGCGCCCCTGCTTCTCAGGAGGCACGGGCCTCGGGCCTTGCCTGTAGACGTAAGGCCCGCGCCCTCTAAGAAGCAGCCTCATTCTAAGCAGCCTTCCCCCCTCCCCCACACCCCCTCTGGCGCCGCCAAAGCAGTACATACAGTCAGGGCGTTGAAAGAAGGACCATCCTGGGCTCCGGAGGGGCTCCAGTCTTCGGCCCGCTCCTCGACTCTGGGTCGGGGGGCACGTTCCTTGCCGAGGCTCGCCGTGGCCGAGGAAGGCGCTTCGCTCCTCGTCCAGCGCTCCTGATGGCAGCACGGCGGCTGCAGAGGAGCAGGACGAGGAGAGGCAGAAGCAGGAGCGCAGCGCAGAGGAGCAGGAGCAGGCGCGGCACAGCGGGAGGCACCCGCTGCCGACCTGGCCACACTGCCGTGGGGTGCCCGGGCCCTGCTGAAAGGCTGGCACCCGACGGAGCTAAAACAGGGCTAGGATCGGGATAAATCGCTCCAGAGCGTTCCGGAGCTCTCTCAGAGCGTTCCGGAACGCTCTGGAGCGGCCGCGGCGCCCAATACATCCTCCAAACCCGCCGATTCTCAGAGATTTCGAGTTATCCCGATCCGATTTTGTCCCGATCTTCGCGTCGTTTTAGGAGCTGCCGTGCGGGCGAGAGGCCCCGCTTCGGAGATGAACTGCACGGCATCCTCGAGGCCCGACACGCAGAAGAGGGCTTCTGAGCCCAGACGTGCGAGGCCACGATTTCTTCGTGGTATGGGCCCTGGGCCTTCATCCCGGTTCGTGTCCCGACTGCGTCGAGTCCCGAGATGGGCCTCCGGAGGCCAAGGCCAGACCCTTGACGTCGTGATCTGTTCGTGACGTGGGCCCGCAGAGGTTCGGACACCTTCCTGGGACCCGCCTTTTGTCCCGAGTCGTTCTTCGACAGCCCCCGAGGGGCCTGGAGAGGGACCCCAGAACCCGAAAGTGGCAAAATCTGCCCGTCGCGATTCTTACCACGACGCGAGCGTATCTGGGAGGTCCCCCCCCCCCTCTTCGGCGCGCCGCCTGAGCAAGAGCAGGGCGCCCCGCCCGCCCGCGGGGGCAGGCGTGCCCGCGGGCCGCCCGTCCGCCGACGCTGCCGCCGCCCCTCTGGCACCCCAAGATGTCGCGCCGCGCGGAGGAGGGGCCGCGGGGAAGGGGCCAGACGCTCCCGCCCTGGGGCCGTTCCTGCTGCGCCCTGGGGCACGGCCACGGGCCTCCGGAGGCCGAGATGCAGGAAGACGGGCGCCCGGCTCGAACGAGATCCCTCGTCGGAGACCCGGGGGCGCCGCCGCCGTCCTCTCCGCCGCGGCCGCCGGCCAGGCCCCGCGGGCCCGGCGCGCGCTCCCGCGCGCGCCCGCGCGCAGGTCGAGCGGCTGCGGGCCGTGCTGGCGGGGAGCCCCTGGGAGGCCATCTGCCCGCCGCGGCCCGCGGAGCCCGCCCCCTCCGCGGCCTCCACGGCCCCGCCGCCGCAGTCGGCGGAGGCCGCCGCCGGCGGGGCCGGCGGCGCGGCCGAGCTGGCGCGCCTGCTGGCGGCCGCCCACGGCGCCGCCGGCCCCGCCGACGGGCTGCTGCCCTACCTGAGGCGCCGCGGCCCGTGGCTCCACGCACTCCCCTCCAGCCTCCTGCCTCCGCCCCGCCCCCTTTCTCCTTCTTCTTGGTCCTTCTTGGTGCACTTTTACCGCGAAGGAGTGTGACGCTGCGCACAGCCCGCGCGAAAAGGCCGAAGTGTCGGTCTCGCCCCAGTGCCGCACCCATTCTCCCAGAGCATTGAGCTCCTGCTTGGGCGCGGCGCACATCTGTCGCCCGTAACTTCGTCGGCGCGCGAGCGGACGAAAATGTAGTTTCCTCCGCCTCGGCGCCGCACGAGTTTCGGCTGAAGGTGGCGTTTCCGCTGAGGCGCCGCACATGTTCTCATCCGCCAATTCTGAAGGGGCCCGCGCGAGGGGGCGACGGATCGCCTTCGCCCAAGCTCCGTGCACATGTCGCTCGGCAGTGGCGCTCCCGCGCGGGCTCGGCGCACTGTGCTCCCGCCGAGAAGAAGCGACCGCGGCCGCGGGGCCGCGCCGGAGCGGGCGGGAATGCCGAAGCGCCGCGCAGTTTTCGAGCGAGCGCGGCGGTGCTGTGTCGGCGCGGCGCGTGCTTCGTCTCCGCCGCGCCCATCGGGAGCTTCGCCGCTCCCGCCCCCCGCGCGGCCCGCACAGATCTCCCTTCGCCAAGTCGTCCGGAGCGGGGCCGCGCGCGAGCGCCTTCCGCTTGATATCAGCCACGCGCAGAGGGGGGTGGGGGGAGGGGGAAGGCTTCTTAGCAAGCTTCTTAGAAGGCGAGGGCCTTATCTATAGATGTAAGGCCCGCGCCTTCTAAGAAGCAGCCTCCTCCTACGAAGCCCTCCCCCCTCCCCCCACCCCCCTGTGCGCGCCGCCAATGATGGGTGGGAACGCGTCCCGATCCCAATATCAAGTTCTGCCACAGTTGGTTCTCATGTTGCGGGAGGGAGGGTGGGAACAGGCGGTGCCTTCTGCCTCGCTCGGCCCGGCTAGCTCGGGTCCCCTTTCGCACTCCTCCTCCTCCCCCGTCTCCCCCCCCTTCCCCTTCTCTTGCCCCGACCCCAGCCTCATCCCCTTTTTCCTCATCCGACCTCACCCCACGCATCCCCCTTCTCACCCCCCCCTTAGATGGCAGGCGAAGGGGAGGACAGGAGGAGGAGGAGGAGGAGAAGGAGGAGGAGGAGGACGAAGGTGAAGGAAAGGGAGGAGGATGATGATGATGATGATGATGATGATGAGGAGGAGGAGGAGGAGGAAGAGGGGGAACAATTGATTGAGAAGGAGGCGAAGGAGGAAGAGGGAGGGCGAAGGGGGAGGGGGGGCGAGGAAGAGGAAGACGAGGAACGGGAAGGAGGCTACCAGGAGAACGTGGAGGACCAGAGTAATCCCAAGATGAACCAACGATGCCGCGATAAATCCTCCCGTCCCAACTCTCTTCCTCGTAAGTCCCTGCACGCCTTCCTTTTCACCACGAGCAGCGCCCCCTTGAAAGACGAGCACCCTTTGTGCCAGCCAATCTGGCGAGAGCTCCGTTTTGAAAAGGGAACGTCCTTGCATCCTTGCAGCGAGCTATACGGGACGGAAAACTGGGACCATGAGGTTCAACGATTTGTCGAGAAAGATCCGCTATGAGATGGAACCACCACCCGCAAACCCCACCCACGCGGCTAGAGCACGGGGGTACGCTTTTGGTTGCTGTGCCGGGGGAAGTCTGAAAGCGAGAGCCCCAGCTTGAAAGAGAGGCCGCACTCCACCCGCGCAGTGGTTGAGCACATCTGCTCAGTTTCCCGGTCGGGGGAGTCTCAGCGGGAAGCGACAGTTTGGAAAGGAGTGGCCTTCCATACTTGTAATACGTGCTGCAAGATGCTGGAACGAGTGTGCGCGACGCTTAGGCAAAAAACTGAAAAGGAGCAGCCCTCCACCTCCGTATGTGTCACAAGCTTTTAAGACAAGTGTGCGCGGCGCTTAGGCGAGGGCCCCATGTTTACCCCCCCTCCCTCATCCATCCTTGCAAGTGTTGCCGAGTCTGCACGCTTCGCGTATCCCGACCAGCGCCCACGTGGCTTCTTCCCCCCCACGACGGCGCCACGCGCCACGACTTACCGACTTCACGTGTTGGGTCCTCGTCCGGGGGCGTTTGCATCCGACGCCTCCTCTCCATTTATTCAAATGTTCTGCGGCTATCGGCTGCGCCTCCTCTCCTCCCCTCCTGACGCCTCCAACGACTTCTGAGGGATGACGACACCCGCAGTGTGGCTCTGGCGAATACCTTGGCACACCTCCTGGGGATGAGGCGTTTCCCTCTCACATTGCGGGATGATGCAGTGCTCGCTTGGATGGCGTGGGCTTTCGGCCGGTGGCATCTTGCAGGCCTGGCCTTCCTCGTCTTGGCCGTTCCGCTCTTCGGCGCCGTCGCTCTGGAGTACGACTTCCAATTCATGTGGTGCATATTGTGCCAGGTTCACGCTTCTCCTGGCCGACGTTACCCCCCCGGCGTTGCCGACCTGACTGACTCGGGCACGGTGGTGTGGTGTCCATCCGTGATTGAGCCCTGTCGGATCGCCAGCGAGCACATGGTGCTCCGTGAGTGAGGCCACCTGCTTTTCTTCCCCTCCTTCGTTCTTCTGCCGCCTCGCTCCTCCTTTCTCGCCGTTTTCCCCTCGCCCTGCTCGTCGGCGGGCGTCCTCGTGCGGGTGCAACGTCGCCACGCGCGGCTCGTTTGCTCGTTTCCCTCAATTTGTCCTGCATATGCACTAATTATCTGGCTCTGTGCCCCAGCTTGCCTGATTAACACGCCCTCTGGACTTGTCCTTGCGGGCCGCAGAACAAAAAATTATCCCGACCAGCGTGCAGCCCCCCCCTGGATCCCCCTGCCTCGTTGGCGATGCTCACCACGCCTGCCTGGCCTTCTCCTCTAGCCCATCTGGCCCGTCGCTGTGCCGTTGTCGACGGGGCCGGCTCGCGGTCGTCCGGGCCTACCACGTGCACTGTCTGGTGGACTTTTGGGTGCTGTGACCGCGCCGGAGTGGTTCAGCCTTTCGCAGCCGCAGCAGCACCCCGGGCTCATCCCCCCTCTTCCGGCAGGTTGCGTCGTTCCACGTTCCTCGGCAGCTCAGCTCCCCTAGCCAGCACACGTCGTTGGGACGGATTGGGCCTGGCGCCCCACTGGCGACTCGCTCATCGGGCTTCGCGCCTGCCCCCACCCAGTATGACGGGCACGTCTGCCTCGGTGCGCGTCATGTCGCTGTGTGGGTTATGCCTCACGGCAGGCTGCGCATTTCTCGACAGTTTGTCAGACTGCACGTGCCCGAGCTTCCCAGGATGTCCCCTGCCGTCAGCTTCCCGCACGACGACGACGACCACAACGACGAGGAAAAGGAGGAAAAGGAAAAGGAAAAGGAAGACGATGAGGGCAAGGACGAGGACGAGGAGGAGGACAACGAGGACGAGGACAGAGCCAGTCGCCTCTTGGAGCCCTCTTGGGACTCGTTTGGGAGATCTTGTGGCCCTCTTGGGGATCGTTTGGGGGGTCTTGGGGCCTCTCGGGGCCCTCTGGGAGACCTCTTGGGGGTCCTTCGGAAGCCCTGGAGGGCCTTTCGGGGCCATCTTGGAGGCCATCGATCAAAAGGAGGGGGGTGCTCGATTTGCCTTGCCTTTCTGGGGCCATCAACATCGCCTCTTGAGGACTTCTTGGGGCGCTCATAGCCCGCTCTTGAGCGCTCTGTTGGCCGTCTGGGGAGCCTTTTGGGCCTCTCCTGGGCAATCTCGGGGCCATCTCGAAGCCTCAAAAGCGCATCGAAAGCGAAAAGGCGAGAAGTCAAACATCAGTGATTGTTCGTTGGTTTTGAAGGATGTTGGCCTCTTGGGGGGGTCCTGAGGGGGCTCCGAGGGCACTTGGAACCGTATTGTGGCCCTCGTCGGGCCCTGTCGGAAGCCATCTTGAACCATCGTCGGCTATCTTGAGCAATCTTGGAAGACACCTTGGAGCCTAGGAGCCCCTCTTGGAGCCATCTTGGACGCCCTGACCGGTCCCGGCCCTCCCTGCCCAGGCCCAGCGAGCGGGGAGGGGGGTGGGGCGAACCTCCCCGAAGGGAAGAGGTGTTCGGAAGAGGGAACAGAGAACTCGCCAGGCAACCTGACCCCGAAGAGCTGGTGGGAAATTTCCAACTGAGTTATCCTACATGGTGAGGAGCTCCCAGCCGACGCGCCCAGGCCGCCCAAACGACACGCCTGGGGGTGCCACGGGGAGGAATGTCTATAGAGAAAGAAAACGGAGGGAGGAAGAAGAAGAGAGGGGAGCAGGAGGAGGAAGAAGAAGAAGAAAGAAAAAGGAGGGAGGAAGAAGAAGAAGAAGAAGAAGAGAGGGGAGCATGAGAAGGAAGCTGAGGAGGAGGATGGAACAGGGAGGAGGGAGGAGGGACCGGAAGGCAGCAGCGACGACGACGACGACCACCACGGCGGCGCGGAAAGGCCTCCCCAGGCCCAAGCATTGCCAAACAGTTCCAAGAACGCCCAAGAGCGACGACGACGACGACGACGACGACGACAACGCCGGCGACGACGATGACGACGTCGACGGCGACGACGATGACGACAACAACGACGACGACGTAGAGGACGACGACGACCACCACCCATGACGATCACGTGGAAGACGGCGACGACCACGACTGCTACGACGGCGATGACGACGACGACGACGACGACGACGACGACGACGACGACGACGTAGCCGTCGGCGTCGCCGCCGTCGCCACCGTCGGCCCCCCCCCCCCGCGAGCCTGCCAGGGCCGCCTGCGCGCAAGCGCGCAGCGCCGAGGCTGCGGCGGCGGCGCTGGCGGCGGCCGCGCCCCTGGCCGCCCGGGCGCGGGAGGCCTCGGCTGGCGAGGCGCGGCGTGGGGGCGCACAAGATGTCCATATCTCCCCCGGCTGCTCTTCCTCCTCCTCCTCCTCCTCCTCCTCCTCCTCCTCCTCCTCCTCCTCCTCCTCCTCCTCCTCGTTCTCCTCCTCCTCCTCGTCCTCCTCTTCCTCGTCTCCT